AAAAAAGTAATTAAAAGGAAATAATCATTTCTGGCAAAATTACAAAAGGTACAAGTAAAACAATAGAAACAACTACAGGTAATGGAAAACAAAGTAACAGTGTAATTGTGCACACACAGAAGTGACTAGAATACTATTATTAATAAACAAAAACTCTGTTAATTCAGAGAACTTCTCTATCAGTTAAGAGACTTCCATATTGTCATCTTCACATAATTTGTTACACATCAAGGAGTTGTAGTTCTTTTCATGTAATAATATCAGTTTGATATTTTAAAACAATGAAAGCAAATTTTAAACTTAGGGAAGACCAAAGATAAAGTATAGAGATTGCAGAATTTTTTTTTTATATTTTAACCTGTCCAATACCAACAGTTTTAATTCCAGATAAAAGAAAAATACATTTAATAGTTCTAAAACCTGACGAGCTAGTGCAAAATCTGGCTAGTTAAAAATTGTTTTGGCTAATAAATTCTGACGGGCCAGTAGCAGTAAGTTAGTGAAATGAATTGTTTTGTTATACACTGTAGCTAGAGTTTAGTAGAATCTAAAATGGGCATTTGATTTACGATCACGTGGCAATGGCTAAATGATAAATGAAGCAATTTTTAGCCTACATTCCCACTAACCGCAGGTTACTTTGACTTCTTCTTACCTTATTACTTTACACTTAACTCCAGCCATATAACAAAACACTTAATTACTTGTCCCTTCGGAAACAGATAGTTTTGTTTTCCCTTGAATCTCGACTTCATCTTGGGGAACATTCACAGTCTCTGGAAAACAAACCTGTTTCCCCTTGGGACAAGCAATTAAGTGTACAATGTTATAGTTTGCTTATAATGTTTTTTTATAATTATTTTGTAGGTAAGACAAAATGCATGTCAAAAACTGGAGACTGTGTAGTCAAACATGGAACAAATTTTACCACTGGGTTTGGGATGGTGGTAAGTGTAAGCTGTGTGCTGTTTACCATTTTTTAACCCTTTCAGAGCAGCTAGAAATAGAGCAGTTTTCAGTTGAGTGTTGAAAAACAGAAAAATATTTTGGCCAGTCACAAAATCTGGTGAGCCAATCAAACCCAAACCAAATACATGTAGCTGGTACAAAGCCTGGGAGAAGGAGTTGAGTGAATTGTGATTGGTTTTGGTTTTACTTCTGATTGAATCAAAAAGTAGAGTGAGATATTTTTAAACCAATAACAAAGGGTACTAATTCAAAACTAAAGCTAATTCAAATTATTATTGATATAATAGTGAAAACCGCTTAATTAATTCTCCTTGTTCGCTGTTGTGTGCTATTTTTATTATTTAGTAGAATTTTCTGGCACAGCATTGTAACATCTTGCAATAATTATCAATGATAACTGATGATTTATTGAAATAAATAGGTAAATTAAGTTGCATTTTTAATATTATAATTATGTTTTATTGTTTTTCATAGGGAGCCATTTGTGATTTCTGTGAGGCGTTTATCTGTCATAGTAAAAAATGCTTAACAACTCATGCATGTGAATGTGCACTCAGAGAGGGTGAATGCATAGAGTGTGAGCGAGGGGTGTGGGATCATGGTATGTATTATCCTTCATATTATATAACTGCAAAAATTACTTCGTTTTGATTGGCTAATTTTTAATTTGCACTGCAGTGCAAATTAATGTGATTTTTTCCAGTCATATGATAAATGAATAATNTCACCCTCACCATTTGAAGTGCTTGGAGGAGAATCCCATATGAAAAGGTCGGGGATGCTTGTCGGAAAATTTGAATTAAACCCCTGAAGGAGATCAATCTGGGTGTGGCTCGAGCTTTATTTGACCTGCAAGAGATACCACTTAAAACAGAAAAGGCTCATTTACAGACTGCTGTTTGGGAAAGGAGCCCGTGCTAGTAGATTTGGCTTGAGAGACCGTCGGAATTTCAAGCCCGAAATGAGAGTTTTTTGTTATCATTTTTTCTTCAAGTGCACCCTAAAAATAGTTGTGTTTTATTATGGATGCCCTAAGTGAGACCAGAATCCTTGATTTATACCCCTAAGCGAGAAAACGAGCATCCATGATCTTTTCATATGAGAGCCCCCTGGGATGAAGTGGGGAAAAAATTTCCATCTCTGAAGCTTTCCACTCTTGTAAATGAAACAGTTATGTGTTTAAATGTTTTGTTCTACCAGTTATGATGTTACATGTTATCCTGTTTTCCACAGGTGGTCGTGTGTTTGTGTGTTCATTCTGTGCGTCATTCTTGTGTGAAGATGACCAGTTTGAACATCAAGCCAAATGTCAAGTGTTAGAATCTGAGACATTAAAATGTAAGTTTTCAAATGAGCTGTCCTCTTTCTTCGTAGTTACACTAAACAGTGTGAATGAATGCAGGTCAGGAACATTATCTAGCCTTCAATTTAGGCATTTTTTCAGGTTGCTCAATTGGCATTTTTTTTACAAGTTTGTATTGAATGATTTTGTTTTGTATTTCCCACACCCCTGTAACATTTCTAATGTTCCATCCCTTCTAAAGAAGAACAAGATAATTTGTTTCACACAATGTGGTGTATGTTGTTATAAGTTATGCTGTCTCACAGTGCCATTACTCAAGAAAACATGTAAAGTTTTTTGTACAGTTAACTAAGTAACAGCAGTGATCAGTAAGACTGTGACTGCATGTCAGATTTAGGTATTAAGAGTATTCATCTGCTATTTTTAAGGTGGCTCCTGCAACAAGTTGGGACAGTATTCATGTCTTAAGTGCAAGGTAAGTATTGTTTACATTTACTATTGTTTACACCACTTACATGTATTTCACTTCAGACAACTTTGAGGGGGAGGGGGAGGGGGTGGCAGTGGGGATGAGTTAAGTACATGTAAATAGTAAAGTTTGATTGACTATAGAAAGTCAAAACCCGTTGAAAAATCTCTTTACCCAAGTTATATTTGATCAGCTAATTTCAGATTTTTTAAATTTAGTTGCTGCACTCCCCTTTTCTCTTTAAGTGTGAATGTTAATTTCCCCATAATTCATGAATCACAAAGTGTTGTTATGCAGTTCCCTTTAAGAACTGAAGACAAAATCTGCAACCTTTTCCATTCTAAAACACCCAAGGGAACACTACATTAATGTAATCAGACACATGTTAAAATAAATGTTAAATATATTTGTGATCAAATGAGTATCAGTTTCTAAAGAAACTGTTGGGCTGGGTCAGTGGACAAGTGAAAGACTTCACTCTTTAGCAGAGGAGCAGAACTTCTGCAGCAGGGATGGTGCAGTGGTGAGAGTGCTCACCTCCCACCAATGTGGTGCGGGTTCGATTCCGGCCTGGTGTCATATGTGGGTTGAGTTCGTTGTTGGTTCTCGCCTTGCTCCGAAGGTTTTTCTCCGGATTCTCCGGTTTTCCTCCCTTCACAAAAAACGACATTTCAAAATTCTATTCGACCAGGATAGGGGACTCCCTTGACAACCAGCTAAGGCTGACGTGGCTTTCTAAATATTGTAATTTATTTATTTATTTATTTATTTTCATCAGCTTGAAGTTATTAAAGGAAAATTACCCACCGAAGCTGACGTTTTGAGCATTGTCCTTTTCTCAGAGCAATCTTATTAACACCAGCATTAAACTGCAGCTTGTGATTTTATGTGGGACAATAAAAACATTTTCCTACACTTTTCTCTCCTCTTTATGCACTGAGAGGAAACTGGACCTCTTGCTTAGTCACAGCACCTTGTATATTTTTCTTAAAGATTTGTTTCTGTGAAGACCATGTGAGAAGAAAGGGGTTAAAGTACACTAGGGGACAACCTATTCCCTGTCCTAAATGCGGATATGAGACAAGAGAAACCAAGGATCTAAGCATGTCTAGTAAGTCAATATTTCTGTTAGTGCACGGTGAGTCCGGATATCAAGTGATTTGTACCGCAGTTATCAGTGTAAGGGTTCAAAACCTTTTCGGTCCCAGCGGACGGTTCTTACATTTACTCTTATTTAAACCTGTCTACAACGGCCACCTCACCACAACGGCAACGGCTACTAAAGCGCGTCCTAACTGCCAAAATAACCACTCGACAACGTCCCGTTAATCAACGACTGGCAAACGGTCATACAAATCCCCATTTTTATTGGAAAACGTCATCAAATTTGATCGATACCGAGCATCGTTGGTCTCTGTTTCTGTTTGGTTTCTGTTTTATTGATATACTTTGTTTGTGTTAGGTATTTCAATGCTACAGTAAGCAGGTTTTGAATATAGAAAGTTGTACCCCCGAAAAAAAAAGTCATGTTACCCTCTACCTCCCCATAACGGCCACCTCCCTAGAACGGCTACTTTCCTCTGTCCCCAAGGTGGCCGTTATGGCGAGGTTCGACTGTAATTCGGATGTATCTTATTTCAGCCCGTAACTACGCGTATTCCCGACAACGAAATACCGTGGACGATTATGACTATGATGATGATTACGGAGCAAGCGGGTTCAGTTACGGGTCAGGCGGGTTCAGTTACGGGTCCAGCGGGTACTCTTACGGGACCACTAGCCACGCAGATGACGAAGAAGACGATGAAAGTGACAGCGATGAAGACGAGGAAGATGGCGATGAAGAAGACGAGGATGAAGACGATCGTCACGGTACCAACGAAGAAATAGCGGAGGTGGCCGAGAACTTATCTCGACTAAAAGTTCAAGAGTCTTAACCAAAGTGAAAGAAATCTTTCGAAATTATGCGTTACCCAAAGGAAATGCAAAAAACAAAAAACAAAAAACAAAAAACAAAAAGCAAAAAATTCCACAATACGTAGAATGAAGAACTGACTAATTGATACATAACAGTATGATAATTACTGCAGAAACACAAGGGAATTCTGCATTCACGGATATGATATTTTCGAAATAGACTACTATAAAGTATAAAATAAAACAATAATAAATGATCACTTTATTTACGTGTCGAAGTGTTTAGCACTACTGTACTTATTTGGGACACTGAAATAAGCAAACAATTATGATAAATTGAACCAAAACTTGTTAAAAATCCCGACCGACAGGAGGTTGACCAGTTGGCTATTTACAAAGCGTGGAGGAGTTGAATCTGGAACCACCAAACACAAATCCATCTAGTGGCAGGGAGGTGGATTTGAACCCGGGATCTCCGGATTACAAATCCAGCGCCCTGACCACACGGCCACGCCGCCTCCGCAATTTGCATGTCCGCCCCTCCTAATGGTTCTCCTCATTGGCTGAGCACTGCTCCAGGAAATATCACAATACTTAGTACGTTTTCCGTGGTCTATGTTTTTAGGTTCTTAAATTCATGCCTTAATTCTATGATATTAAAATCCTTCACATACGATTGAAATATAATTAAGTTGACTTTAAAATATGAAACGTCAAGTATTACAGTGTTTCCTTCTTTGTTTTGTCCCAAAACGTGTGCACTTGTATTCTGCCCAAATGTGCTTTCCAGAAAAAAACTACAATTTATTTTATTGAGCAAGCGCCACGTGCTGCAATAGGTTGTGCCACGTGATTTTTTTGTGTCAAGGGTTGAACACGTGAGGTAAATTAACGTAGCACGAGCAATATATCGAAGTTATTGACTGGTCTGCGGCTGTGTTTGAATTGTTGAACTTTCTCGCCGCTGTGACGCTGGCAAAATAAACATCTTATTTCCGTCATCCAAAAAAATGTTTACAGAGGTCCAGTATGTAGGAAGAATAGAAAATTATTTGCTGTTTTACCGAGAGTGTACAAACAGAAAAGTTAATGCAAAAAAGAAAATCGAGGTGAAAGAAAAAAATACAAACAGAAAGATTTGTTTTCCTCTTGGTTCTCTGGTCTCTCAGACGTGAGACGGCTCACGAATTTAATTAAAAGGCCGAGGAGAAAATCTTATTATTAGTTGGCGGTAATTTCTGAAGAGCATAAACGTGTCACTGGAAATCAGATCACCGGAATAGACTTAATATACAGAATCCAATTTTGAGTCCCAGTTAATATACGTATGTGCGCATTTAAGATTTGAAAAATTTACACATTTTCATTGGTTTTCTATCGTTTGATAACGTCGTTGAGAGTTTTTTAACCTGGATAAAGATTTTTTTCCCTTCACTGTTTTTTTTTTTGTCTTTTTACGTTATCATACGTGCAGAAATTGTTAATGAATTTTTACCGATGAAAACAAATAATTTTAAATTTCATGAATAATAAACAATGTCAGTGTAATTTTCGTCGGCTTGTCAGTGCATGACTTAATTTCCAATTTTAGTCCACAAACAAGTTGATGAGGCCACTGTGATATGGCCAATCAAAAATACTCTTGCTTAAGAATTTCATTGCTAATAAAACACAGACGGAACTAGAGCTAAGAAATCTGCCTAACCTGTCAGAATCAAAAAAAAAAAACTTCTAACTTTTTTTTTTAATTTCCACTCGGTTTTTACTGGATCAGAAGCAAGCCAACTGAATTCCCAAGAGGATTGTCTCGTTGGAAAGGTTTTAATGAATAACCAAAACAATAAAATTTTACAGGATTTATTTTTAAAATATCAAGTTTTTAATATTTTTCTAAACATCAAATCCATTTGTCATTAACTTCGGTTGCTTGATACTTTGACAAGCCGAGACAAAGAAAAGACGGCGTGAATTGATGTGAAAATTGTTGAGAAAATCTAAACAGAGGGCCAGATGTCATAAAGTCAACAGTAAAAGGTTACAAACGTGCTTAGCGCTGGAGTGAACAAACACCGAACAAAAGAAAAGATTTGATCATTCAGTCTCCTGTGTGGTTTTTTTTAGCAGTTTTTCATCAGGATATATAAATGAAGCGGTTTTAATTCACGAATATCGTGTTAACGTGACCTCGCAACATGCTGTCGTCAGTTATCCATTAGCCAATGTAGCGGGGTTTTTAATCCGGGCAATTACACGTCACAGTTATTGCTCGATACTGTACAACTGTACAAGTAATTTTGATCAAGAGTCCGTGTCTAATCTGTAACACAACGAGGTCTGTAGCAAAACGAATAAACCATTCTTTCGCCTGTATAACACCATGCTTATCAACAACACTACAGTGGATCACACTGGACTTAGTTCTCAAGTTCGTATCCTGGAGGGGGTCGGATTATCATTCGTTCTTCTGGTCTCCTTGACGTTAAACCTCGCTGTTTGTACAATTATTTGGCGGACGAAAGTGTTACGAAACAAGCCAGCCAATACATTTGTGGCGAATTTGTGTATCGCTAATCTTCTCTTGACCGCCTGTGTGATTCCATTTAGCTTGGTGACCATTATTCAAGACAAACACGCCGCATATTCAAGACTTCTTTGCCAGGTAAGACCAAACTTATACAACCATGTGCTTGAAATTTTAATGCTCGACTCCATCAGTATAGCTACATTTGCAAACGGATTTTCTAGACCAGGGGTTAACACTTTGATGTATTCGTATTGTATGGAGTAAATCGTAATAAAAGAACTTAAAAGTAATTTTCTTGCAACTACCGGGTGTAATTTTGCATCAGTTGTACACATACATAGCTACGAAACAATGTGATTTTGTTACAGTGGCGCTGTTTATTCAAGGGTCGCTGGGTAGTTGATTTGAGCAAAAGCGGTCACTAGTGAAGTTGGCGTTTATGTAGCGCGCAACAATCGTCAAACTCAGGCCCGTAAAATGCTACTGATTTACGACCAATCAAACGTAAAACATGAATTTATCAATGATAGTGGGATAAAGTGACAAAGCCTGGCAATGTCTGGCTTCTGTATTCAGATAGGTTTAGTTTGCACGGCTGAAATTAGGGTTGAGATCAGTTTAACGTTTTGTCTACTGAGGGAAATATGACCGAGAAGGAACATTGTTTCAAAATCGAGATCCGAGGCCTAGCCAAATCAAGGCAGCTTGTTTCGGTGAAAAATACAATTCCTGATAGGACCACGAGGATCACGAATACCGTGACGGTCTTGCATGGAATAGAAACAAGCATCGGATTTTAGCAGTACATTTTCCAGGAGTAAGAAACGAAGAAAGAAGAAGAAAGAGGCAGATCTTTGAATTTTGAATTTTTGTCCCAAAATTTATTACGGATAGGATATTTTAGAAAAACAAGGGCAACCGTTACCGAAATTTCTCATGTGGAAATATTTTGTGCCATTTTAGCACTTTTAACAAAATGTAAATCCGTGTAAGGCTTTCTTTTAACTAATAGTGCGATATTTCTTTATGTTTTCAGGTAAATGGTTTCATCAGCGTGGTATCGAGTGTTGGAATTGTGATGACGCTTTGCTGCATAAGTTTGGATCGATATATTGCAGTCACCAGGCCAACACGCTACAAGACCATTGTCACGGTCAAACGCGCCTGCTACACCTTGCTCGTGGTCTGGGGACAAGGTTTACTGTACGCCACTTTTCCATTGTTTGGGTGGTCCAAATACGAATATCATCCGGGAACTTTGCACTGTTCTCCAGCCTGGACACAAGACTGTGCACTGTATATCTACCTAGCTGTTGTGGGATTTAATATTCCTATTGCTGTGATGGGTTTTACATATATTCGCATTTTTTTCGTTATTCGAAAACACTCTCGTAAGGTGTCAACCATCAGGCGGACGAAAAAAAAGGCGAAGAAGAACGACTGCAAATTGATTTCGCTGACACAAAGACTGAATGTGAAACCAAGCTTGAACCAAAATTCTGCAAATGAAGTCAAGTTCCCCGTAGAAAAGCTCAAGTCCAAAGAAGAGCAAACAATATTTAGCTCGAACATGGAACTTTCACCATTTGACAGTTGTGCCAAGCAATTCGAATTGAACATTAAAAATGGTGAGCCAAGCGGATTGTATGTGCAAGAAGGAGAAAAAATTGACATCTCCACAGAACTGCCATCTTACAACACGTGTTGTGACGTTTCAAACGCAGGCGAGCAGTCCTCGGCGCCAGTATCGCAAAATACCAGCAGTGAGCCTTCAAGCAGTGGCCAGCAGACCAAGCGTGGCAAAATTTGTTGTGGAGAAATGCTCAGAAACATTTGGCCGCGAAAGCGCAGGCGCGAGCAGCGTCCTCTGTCCAGAGAGTACAAAGTAGCCAAGACTGGAGTTCTGTTATTGCTTCTTTTCATTGTTCTGTGGTTGCCATATATGGTAGTGCACATCTGTTCCGCCAGAGTGCATGCGCCACAGACAGTTATCCGCTTGACAATGTGGCTCGTGTTTATGAACGGTGTTTTGAATCCCGTAGCGTATGCCTTGTGCAACTCCACAGTGAAGATGAAGTTTGAACAAATGTTTTTGACGGTTTTTTCTTTGTGCTGCAAGTGTCGGCGATTGGAGGGAGCGAGAGCCAACTTTCGCATGTCAGAAACTATCTAATAAGTTAAGTGAACGTGAGCACGCATCCTTGTGTATGCGTCAGAGAAAAAAAAATTCTTAAGTTATCTAACACCTTTATCGGTAAAAAAGCAAAAGGATAAGAGATATTTAATATAATCGTAGAAAAAGGCTTAATCTAAAAGTTTTTTCTCTACTCCTGGCGGTTTGTAAAGAAGAATTTTTTTGCACTTTGACGGGATACGAAAAAACATATTATCTTATTCTCCTATGCTGTAACTTCCTGTTGAGTACGAAAATAGGAAATCCTTGCGATTGTTTAATTGAGCGAATGTGTTATTAAGAAGGAGGTATTTTAACGGTAGCTTGAAGATGAGATAAGAACACTTTATTTACTCTCGGTAGCTTTGATCAAAAATAACATTACATTTTTTTTTTTGGCCTTTTTACCCATTAGCTTCTTCGGAAGTTAATATACGTTGTTAAATTTTAAAGTTCTGCAATTTTGTAAATATTATGGAACAATATACTTAAAAGAAGAAGCTGACTTTCGAACATTATATGAATGAGAAATCTGTGTTCTGGATAAAATGTAAGTTAAAAATGGTTCATGTGAGTACAAATTTCAAGGTTTCATTGGTCGACCGACACCTTCTTTCTGGAATCTCCAATCTTAAAGTACAACTTCTCTGTTGAAATGTGAACGCACTAACTTCAGAATCAGTTTGAAAATTCAAATGTCGCACCTTCTTCGTCCACAGATAAATGATGTTTTACCCAAACAGGGGACAAAAAATATTTCTGAATACGTTATTATAAAAATAAAAATAATTCTTTGTACTAAACGTGAGTAAATAAGCTCTCTATTTGATTGCAATCAATCTTTTGACGTATTTCACCCATCTCTGTTCCAGCACGTAAACGATCCAAGTTATTTATCGGCTAATTTAATCAATGATAACAGTGCAAGATCTCGAGTATTTCTCTGAAATATAGCCTATTAACCTCTTTGAGGCCCACGCGTTTCTGTAACACATTTATTTTACCGCCAACGCAATCTTTTACCAGTTGAGATCTAACTTTGTTTCAAACGGATGTTGCATAAAGAGAACTTCCTTTCTCACACGAGCTTCAACGTTACCCTTTTCATTCCGATCTCAAAATATTAATTCTTACTGCCAGGAAGGGTAGACCATAACGGTTTAGAGACTGAAAAATTTGTGGCTCTTGGTTTTCCAGTCGAATTAAAATTTAGAAATGATAGTTTCTTTGTGCAGGAAGGAAAACCAGAGGACCGGTAGCAAAGACTAGAACCAACATGAAACATAAGCCAAATATGGCACCAGAACCCATTGCACCGACAAGCAGGCAAGCAAGCCAACAAACGAACAAAAGTAATGCTGAAAAAGTATCAGGAAAACAAACGGGTTTGACCTTACACACATGTCGCACGAACTTTGACTGAATAAAACACATCGCCACGGTTTTCTAAATTATGAATATGCGTGGATAAAAAAAGTAAAATACATCAGTAAACAAGACGTAATAATAATGAAAACACCATTGACACTCCTAGACACCTTTACTGTATCTTGTTGTTATGGTTCCTCCAATAGTGTTAAGGCTCGGTATTTTACATTGTGATCACACACGCCTCTCACAACAAGCTTATTTTCTGTCGAAGGAGGGCCGACAATCAAAAACACCAACTGTAAAACTTCGTCATTGAGGTTATTTCGCCGACAGCTGAATTCAGATTTGTATTTCCATAGAAACAGTCAAAGACAAAGACAATTTTTTTTTAGTTCATCGCGGAAAAGGAGGACCAAATCCTCCCGTTTATTAAGTGTTGTGTCTTCTTGTTTAGGCAGACTGCAGGTGCAAACATGACGGCAGGCTCTTCACTTTATCGTGCAAATTCGTTACAGATTTAAAAGCTCGCTTTAGTGTTGCACACAACAACAAAATAATGAAGTAATTGAACGAGTCTGTACAACAGAAACAAAACAGTTACTTTGTTTGTTTTGGAATTACTTCTAGTTTAGTGGGCAAATGGAATAAATTTATGTTAGCCAACTGAGTGCATGTGCAAACTAAATGCATTAACAAAATTCAGTGACATAACTAGCCTTATCTTTCACGATTTCTACCCGCGGCTAATTGGACACTGAAATATTCATGTATGTTTTAGTGATTTCCTCAGGATTTAACACGTTTCGAATTATAAATTTTTCCTAATGACAAGTTATTGTAATCCGACGGACCAATCTCGGAAGCGCATTCGAAAGTTATTGCGCCTGCTAGTGAATTTTGGAAGATTTTTGACAGGAAGTCTTGGCCATAAAGCGATTTGTTCCCGTCATCTACACGAAATGTACACACACTTACTTCGTCGACGAGCTACCGTAAATATTCAACTCCATTTTGTGCTATTTAAACACGATTTTGACGTTTAGAGTGAATTTTGACCGACTGGGTATCGTGTTGAAATGGCGGACCTCAATGGCAAAGAGGAACAGATAACAGCCCCTTCTTCACACATTACACAAGAAGTGCTGTTAGTTTTCGTTATAGCCGCGTCCATCATCTTGAACTTTTCAGTGGTGTTTGTGATTTGTAGGAACAAACATTTGAGGAAGATAACCACAAATATTTTTATATTAAACCTGGTTATTTCCAACGCTTTAATGGCGATCTTTGTTATGCCGCTTAGTCTAGCGAGCTTCATCAAGCTTGGCTGGAGTATCGATTCTCTGCTCTGTAAGGTACGTTGAAATCATTTATTTATTTTATTTTATTCACCACGTACAGTTTTTTTAAGAAGCTTTAAGACAGAGAGAAACTACGATTGAGATACAGAGAATGTGGTATTTATAATTTATTAATATTTCGGTGAAAAATGGTTGAAGATATATTTCGTGACTTGTTTTATAATTAAGAAATTTCCACAGAAAAACAAAACAAAAAGAAACAAGAATAACTAGAAGTTCTCTTTGTTAAAAAGATGCACGGCTGAGAAAATGTCTTCACTGTGTTGTAACTAACCGAAATTAAACATCTTTGGATTATTATTGTACAGCTTTGTTTAACCTTCTTATTCGCTCAGGCCCGTAGTTCCTATAATACCCCCACTAAGCTTATTATCGGTCGTGGATAATGAAAGAATATAACAATAAGACAAGATATTAATGAAAAACCGAGAAAATATTGTTAAACAATTGAAATTTCAGATTTTGAAGCAGAAATTCCTGATCAATGTTTAATATATTTGCGGCCTTAAAATTATCTCACGAGCGTGCAAATGGAATCTAGTATCTTTTCGACTGAAATTAATTTTACCGGTATTTTAACATCTATGAAAATGATTACTCCTTCATTGCAATATACCTCTGAAAGAAGCAAGGATAATTATATGTGAAAACAGTTGCGTAGAAAAGGCAAATTGATATTTTTGACAATATTGCCTTTAAGAAACCCTAATTTAGTTTTACCAGTGATTTTAATTAAATTTCACGTCAGTCTCACGAAAGGTAGGAACGAGAACAGAAAAGGAAAAACAATAATATTGTAAATATCCTTTTTCTTTGTGACGAAAAACTGTCCCAGTGGGTTAAACCGGCGAAAAAAATAATTATTTGAAGGACCGTATTAATAGCGCGAAAAATGGTTCATTTTATGCAACAGCGGTGCTTTGTGAATCTATGTTTTCCATTGTTTAATAGATAAAGCACTTTATGACATATCACGCGAAAGGAAATAACTTTATCTGACTGATAGTTTAATATTTATATTATTCTGTTTGACCGACACGTGGTAAAATTGATACTATCACGCACTGTGCATTGTTTCGCCACGTCAGGTAATATTTATATCGGGAACAACGTCAATGGCAATGTCACAGTCACGTTTTTGAAAACTGAGGAAAAGATTGAATTTTGTTATGATATCGGAATTTAACAAGAAAAATTCGCTAAGGCACTCTCTGCGTTTCTGATTTAATGACCATCAACTTTAGGTAAACCCAAGAAAGAACAATTGCCTGGTTGGACACTTCTAAAAGCTTGAATAATTCAGTCAAAATTCTCTCATGCAAACACGAACCACCACGATAAGATTGCCTCTTCCTGTACGCATTGCGTACCTATGTTTCTTCATTATCGACTACATTGATGCGTCTTTGTTTTCCATATGAGATAAAAGTTGGAAATCACGTTTTCAATCGCGCTTTGGACTAAATTACGTTTTTGTCGAAAACTTTTCCATAACATTGTGACAAAAACAGGACTAAAACTCCGCCTGAACCTAGATAATGTACTTAATAGGGGAAACAAACCGGCGTTAATTTTAAATTTTTCCCGTTCCCCTTTTCCATATTGCAATTTTTAAATTGGACTCCAGGCATGTTGGCCCAATTTTAGGTCTTTCGTGAATGTAATTCTAATTTATCAAACTCAAGTATTCAGTTCAAAGCAACATATTGCAATATTGTTCGGCACAACATGCATGTTGCAAAATCTTATTACTTTATTGTTACCCTGTTGGCCAAACATGTGCAATATGTTGTATGAAACAAAGTTGTTTTCAAGTTGCATTAACTGTTGCGTGCATTTGGCTGGAGCTCTGATACTTTGACTCTGTTTCAAGACGCTTTGAGAGTTAAAAATGCCTTCAGTCACATTAGCTGTATTTCTAGACTTGTCGTGAGACAAATCCTAATCATTAAAAACAACTTTAGAATTAAAGTTTAGCTATTTTTCCAGACGTTTTATTGGTCTTGTTCTATTAAAAAAAGACTCTAGGCAATTATACGTATAAGTAAATTGGAAAAATTATAGTAGTGTTCTCTTAAGTGTTAGTGTTGTTAGTGTTCAATTAAGGAAAACCCGGGGGTAGTCCCACATATAGGCTATATAGGTATGTTCTGCTGTGAAGGGTATGGTCTTCAGGCAGTTTAGCCTGAGATAGGGTATAGAACTCAGACAGTTTTGGTCTAACAGAGGGTAGAATTTACCGGGAAAGTGGCCAGTGTATTAATGACTTAGGGTAGGACAGAGTTCTTGGGGTTAAAAAGTAGAAACTGAAACTCGGAAGTGACTTTGTAAGATATTGGTTTAGTTAGCTTATGTTGGACCAACGATAGTGATAAAGTTTCTGCACGAAAAATAGCTGATCATGGTCTAGTATAAAGTAAGGGTTTCAGTGTTTCAGCGGCACACCCCCACCCAAAGAGTAACAGAGTACCTCCCCCGGATGCAAAATGGAATTCTAGTTTCATTTATTGGCTTTTTGCTTCATTTTAGATGAACGGGATGTCCAGCACTGCGTTGTGCCTGGCGTCCATCTCAACCTTGTGTTGTATCAGCGCCGATCGATACTTGGCCGTGGTCAAACCAATGCGCTACAAACACGTGCTGACTCCAAGGAGAGCGTTATGCATGCTAGCACTGGTGTGGCTGGGTTCTCTGTCCCTCTCTTGTCTGCCTTTAATTACGACCTATGAGTACCACCCTGGGACAAACTTCTGTTCGCCAGCATGGCATCGAAGCTGTGGGTTGTACGCATTCATGACCGTTTTTGCATTTGGAGTTCCTTTAATAACTCTTCTCTCCACCTATGGCATGATTTTCGCCTCAATACGCCGGCATACTAAGAGAGTTTCCCACTGGAGGACTTCTACAAACGGCTCAAACGGGAAACGGGACAGCCCGCGCGTAACAGATATCACGGGTCGGGAGTTCGAATCGTTTCTTTCTAACTCAGGTGTCGAAGAAGAGAAAAGCAATTTTAAGAGAGTGAAAGAAGCTTGCACTGATCACAGCGTACCAGATAATTCAATCGGTGATTTAAGAGCTCATGTATGCGAGGCGGAATCGATCAAGGCTAAAGTTTCTGAAAGACATCACGACAAAAAGTTTAGGTCGCATTCAGCGGGATGTCAGCATACTAGAACAGACGAGAATCTTCTGCCGCTTTTTGTGCAAATGAAATCAGCGGCAAAAGTGATAACTAGCGATGAAAGCCCGGATGAGCCGGCTAGACCCAGGTCCTGCTCGGTCAGCGTGCAGTTTTCCATCAACGGATTGGTACCAGGGACAGTGTCTGCGTTTTTCTGTCCAGCAGATAACTCGACGGATCCGGGACAATTAACCAGATCCGTAAGTCTAAGTTATCGCAACTTACACTCAATCGACCCAAATAATCTGATCTCTTCAGAGCCACACGCTCATTCCGCTGCTGATCAAGTACCACATCAACCTAGCGAGTGCAAAGTCAATAGAATACCTTCACATTCAATCAGCTTAACGGTAACAACTGCTTCAAACCCTGTAAGCCCGGACTTAAATGTTCCATCTTCTTTCTCAATAAATGGATTAACGCCACAAACACAAGATGATCGGTGTATCGGAAAGGTACATTTAATTACGCGACGTTTAGAAAAATCGAAGACCGAGTCAAATTCCAATACCAGTAAAAAGAATTCTAACCATCTACAGCTACCGCCTGTTAAAATTCCTGTTGATCCTGTTTATCCCGTTCAGCTTGGAAAAGCAAGTTTACCAGAACTAGTTCCGCGACCGAAATCTCGCTCTAGATCTCTTAGCTTCGGAACACTGGCAGAGAGGTCTGAGCTGGATTCCACCTCACTCAAAGTACCTGCGGCAAATAAGACAAGCTCACCTCTGTTGAGACTTCGCGCCATTTCTAAGTTTAAGAGCAAACTTCGGGTGAGCTCAATCCCGCGCGAATACAAGATTGCTAAAATCGGGTTCATTCTTGTGTTAGTGTTCTTTTTATCCTGGGGTCCTTACGTGATGGTGCATAATTGCCAACCCTCTTCCGAGACCCCGTTGTGGGTGTACAGGATGGCAATGTGGCTGGTGTACTTGTCATGTGTACTGAACCCTATTGTGTATGCCTTATCAAGTAAACACATAAGAACAGCTTTTAGCAGTCACATGAAATGTTGTAAATTACTTCACAGCAGGAAATCAAAAAATGTCCGTCACAGAGCAGTAACACTAACCTGACTCTGGTAGCCTCAAGTAGTCACTGCAGTGGGTGAGAAGGCGATGAAAAGATCGCGCTATATGAGCACTGATTTATTGGGTTTGCTTCTTTGTTAGCTCGTTGATCTTTATTTGGACGAAAAATCCTCCAATATGGTGACTCAACATAATGTAGTGACTTACGTCGCGCGAGCCAATTCCTCGAATAAAGATATAATCTCAGCGGTTTGTTCTACATGAAAAACAAGTTCGTTTCGCGATAACGTGCGCCGCATTGCTTTAAATACCAGTTTCCTGCGGAGAGAATCCCTTGCCCCCTTTGTCAAAGGAACTACGCCATGGTTTACGCATCATGAAAAGTTTAGCCTAAATTTTTCAAATTCGTCTTTTGAAATCCGTGTTAATCATCTCCATCCTTAACCATCTTTGTTCCTTTATGGTTTATTATTTAACAAATTGACGTCAGTTTTTTATGCGTCTGTCCTCTTATTGATGATAAATTGCGGCATAACATTGTCAAAGTGGCTGTGGAACCACGAGCCGCAGGCGAGTGGTTCCGCAGTAAACTTTGACAATGGTATGACGAAATTTATCATCAATAAGAGGACAGACGCATAAAAAACTGACGTCAATTTGTTTTTTACCATAACAAGACCCCAAACTGGTCAAATGCCGGGATAAATGAGGCGAAAAGACGCGTAAACTTGCCGTAAACAAAGATAAGTGAATTTTATTCAAAATGACGCGAACATTGTCAATAGATTTTCTCGCTTTTTGATTGGCTACTTAAAAAAGTCCATAAAATCTCATTGGTTAAAAAGTTGACAGTTTGACAGTTGAAATTTGAACTTGAAAGCTTGCATAAATTAAAATTTTATCCGTCTGTACTCTTATTGATGATAAAAATGAGCCAATCAGCGTGCGAGAAATTAGACAGTTATTGTAAAATATCTCTGCTGTTTTTCTATCTTATACAACTACTATTTTCGGGTTACCTGCAATTTAACGGTAATTTTGTACGTGGCCAAAATAACTCAAAATGCCTTGACTGAGCTCGTTTAAATCACAGTCGACTGAATCTATTGACACTGGATGCAAGAGAAAATGATCCATTGACGTCATCAAGTCTGTTAAGTCTGTTGTACTTCCATCTTCAGGGGGTCTGCGGGAAGTTAAGGGAGATCTATACAAAGGCCATTTTCAAAATATTAACATTCTAACTTGGCTACGAGGCTCGGGGGAACAAACCAAAGGAAATTAATGATTCATTCCTCAACCTTGATGTGATTTCTTTTATTTTATTCCCCCAAGCCTCGGGCCAAGTTAGAATCTTAACATATGGAAGATGGCCTATTACCCCCGGGGGGACTCCCATATAAAAAGGGCGGGGTGCTCATCGCAAATTTTTTAAAAGAACCCCTAAGAGGTACAAAGTCCTGTTTTGTGGGCGTGGCTCAAAAGGTTTTTCTCCCCGTGAGGTACCGATTCTAAAACAACACATTATTTCCTGTCATATTTTCCGGGTCAGTGCCCTGAATGATACTGTAAATGCTCCTGCTGTGGTCCTTTGGAGGCTGAACACCCCAAGGGGCACCAAAACCGCTTTTTTAACCCCTGAAAGGTATGTCAAGCACCCCTGTCTTTTTTATATGGGAATCTCCCGGGGGCCTATTTTGACCCATCTTCTCAGGATATTGCTGGCAAATACAAATAAAAGAGCACATTACTATTGAATTTTACAATATTTTATTAAACTGCTTAAAATAAATTAATAAGGAATTACTTATCTCACACATGTACAAAACCTTTGATACAAAATAAGACAGTTAGTATACATAGCACCAAATTTTCTGATGACATCAGTCTGGCACAAAACTCTTAAAATTATCATGAATCACACTGATGTGCTATTTTCTTATCCCTCCTTTGTAGAAAACAAATACAAACATATAAAAGTTATAGAAAATGTGTAATACAAGTAACTGGTAGTAATGATTATAGTATGACATACAACTCTCTTTTTATTTGATATCAAATGCTCCTGAAAAAGGCCAGAGTGAAGCATGAGAAAATTTCTCTAGCATTGCGACACTTCCCTACTGAATGAAAAATCCTCAAATAAATACATCAATTTAAAATGAAATTTTCATCATCTTTCACTTCAACTCTGGCATTTGACAGTGTTACTAAATTATACACACCTGATATTTGTTTGATTACCAGATGAATTTCCTATGACCTTTATTACAGACCGACTACTTCAACCAATGCTACCTGAAACAATTATGTGTAAATTGATGAAATATAAAATGGAATCTTCTTGGGTGCTTTTAACTGTAGATTTCTGACAAACTGGTGATCTTAGCACAATAATACCCATACAAGCACAAAAAAATCATTTGTGACCATGTTTATTGTTTTAATCACTCAAACACCAAATGGTCAATTTGCAGGAGAATTTTCCTGGGTGGCTTTGGTTGAGGCCGTCACACTGTAAAAAAATAAACAATTTGGTATCACCGGACAATCTGCCATGGCCTCATTCGAGCCCAGTCATGTAGGTTTTGACAATGATCAAAATCTGATTTCTCATTACAAATATTCATACACCAAGATGACAAGTGGTGAGAACAAACGCCTTGATATGTGTAATGTCTACGATGTATGTACTGATTTGTTCTAGCAGCTTGTTTCCAGTGACTTTCACTCTGAGCTAATTACAGCTATTTTAATCAACTTTGCCAGATCAAAACCTTGACTTTATGTGGCAAGATCCAAGGGTTGTATCGGTAGAGGCAAATAACTGGTGCTGTGCTGACAACCAATAAGCTAGACATGACAACTCTACAAAATTTAATGTAATGCTGTACTTTCTCTTTTCCCTAAGAGACATGTGGAAACAGAGTACTTAAAGCAACACTCAATTTAAGAAGACTTTTCTAAAACTCTTCTAAAGCCAATGTTACAGTGAAAGAAAAGCAACACAAAAAGGTCTCATGAGAGGAAAAAAATATACTTCACCTGCAGAAATTCAAACTTTCAGATTTTCTCTCTGGTGAATACCTGGACCACCATTCAGTCTAGTCGCATATTCTATCTGATTATTACCAAAACAGTACATTGTGCAGTTCCAGAAAATATCCATACTCCACCCACAGAAGGGATTGGAATTTGCTGAGGGGTGGGGGTTCTGTAAGGAATTGGAATTTCCAGAAGGGTGGGGGGTCTTAGAAAATAGTAGTAGTAGTAATAGTATGGATATTTTATGGAATGACACATTGTAAAACAGCCCAACCCTTCACACCAAACTAACTACAGTGCTCTCTGTAGTGAGCTACACTTGATACAATATTTTACACTCTTCTTCAAATGGTGAACATTTCAAGTCTTCCTGAACATCAAGCTGCTCTGGTAACGAGAGAGAGGAGAATGGAACCAAGGCCTTAGCAACCTCTCTCGTGGCACTTTGATTGACTTGCTGTTGACCATCCTCTGTGGTTCAACATTATTCAGACGTTCTGCAGAGGAAGAAATGTCTTGTTAGATGACACACGAATACAACTGAACAACTCACTCTCCCGTCCCACTCAGCACTAATAAGGGTTGTGACCATCCTTAGGGATATCTTGATGTACAACCTTTAAAATTCTGAGATAATTTGGAAAACGAAAAATGTAGTAAAATTTCACCAGGCCTGAGGCCCTTGTTGAGTTTCTAGTTGTTCAATTCAATTCAATTCAATTGACCATATTCATATTCTCGGTATTGGACTGGAACTAGATTGCAGTGGAGGCTCATGTGGGGAATATCACCAAAAAGGGATAAATGCTATTTGTATTTGAAAAGATTCCATGTATCAGCCTCAGTTGCAAGCTAAATCCAGTCCAATAACGAGAATACGAATATGGTCTATTGTTGGAAAGCAAAATGTCTAAATTAGACTTTATCATCTCCACTTCTAATAATGACTAGCTGGCAGCAAACACAAAACCTACCTATCAATATTATTAGAAAGAAACGATTAGTCGTAAGTTGTTTAGCTTGTTACTAATAACAAACAATTTGCACTGCACACAACGTGTAGTTGCACCTTTTGCCTGATTCATAATGGCTAATGCCCTCTATGAGATGGACTTGCAGGCAATCCTGGTAGTTGTATTCATCCTCTCAGACTAAATATTTGCTTTGATGAATACAACTACATGTACATTTGTACCATGATTCCTGGCAGGCACATATCATAGAGGGAATTGGCCCCCCAGGAAACAGTGAAAAAATTGTGTCATGACATAAAGTACCAACAAGAGTACATTGACTTATATTTAATATATCTAACATAAGTTACTCACCTCTATGTACCAAATAAATACTTGTGTCATGAGGACCGTAAGGATAGTTTGTCAATTTGCAGTTCTGGGGAGAAATGACATGATAAAAGGTAAGCATTGGATAATGTTTCTTCATATTTAGACAAAGTCCATGAATCTTGTCATCTTGAATTTTTCCCAAGCCAGTTCAATTCACAGCCCCTTTTTGTTTTGACTTGATTTCTTTAGCAAAGCGAAGAAAGTTTCAGGCATGCTGCACTAATCTCAGCCGACAGTCTTAAATTTATCATATGGCACTGCTAAGAAACTGTTGGGCTGTGTTGGCAGGCAAGTAAAATTTGATTCAACTAGAAGTTGACAAAGGCAAATTGTAGTGAGTTTGAGATTTTTCATTTATTGCCAGTTGAGAGTGAAATGCTATCCAAAGGCTAGAATTCATAATGTACTATAACTTTAAAAAACCCTTCGAGACAAATGCATTGTAGATGGAAGAATACCTCCAGAATAAGATTTCTGTTCTTCATATCCTGTGTCCATGGTGGAACATAACGTTGTGGAATTTGAGGATGGTGACGAGACCACACAGGTATGCTAGACAAAAGTACAGAAAACATTTTAGTGTCTGATTTAAGCATAGATATATGAAAACACTCCACATGTAACAAGGTTTAACACACCTAACTAACAAAGGGTGTTGAAAGTACTATATGTAATGTCTGAATTTATGAAAACCGTGTCAAATTTGGGGCAAAACTTTCGTGCCTGCCTGTCG